GAATAAAAGGCAATAAAAAGTAATCATTTAAAAAAAAAGAAAATTTTGAAATTGAGAAAGAATTACAAATCGATTTCCAACCTGGTTTTTTGAAGGCGATTCTTAGTCTTGATGGACAATATTTGATTACTTTGCATCAAAATTAATCTGAAATTTAAGTGAGGTAATTTTAAGAAATATGATTAAGAAGAAGACTTCATATATTTAATATTGAAATAATTCACCAAGATTATCATATAATTAAATTATTCAAATATTATAGTAAATTTAGATTAATCTAAACTTATTATAATATTGATTTTTAATTAATTTAATGAAAATGTATCATTAATCCTTTACTTTGAATAATGGATTTATTCAAATTGTTTTATAAGATATAAAAAGTGGCATTTATCTTACATTATCCAAACTAAGATTACCACTTTAAATATAATATTTCAAATTATAATTATGCTTTTTTCGAGTATCATAAGAATTAATTTTTATTATGATTTCAAATAGAAATCATCAAGAATCATCAGTTCTCAATTAACTAACGTATGAAGAGAGATTTCAATAAGATCAACTGACCGAATAATACGATTATGGTACATAAGAATTTGAATACCTTGATTGGGATGAGAATGAATAGAGATTGGTGAAAATGAAATTTCAAATTATTAACAAAAGAAAACGAGATTATATATTTTTTTAATAGATTAATCCTAAGAATGTAAAATAATGAAACCAATTTATTTAGAAAAGATTTTACCTTATAACCCTCAAGTGCTCCCAAATTTAGAATAAATAAAAAATATTCAATGGTATGGAAACTATAATCAGCAAATGCAAAAGATTGGTTAATGGACTCCATATTGGAAATGACAACAACTATTTGAAGTTGGTGGATATTACTCTCTAGGCTGATAAAAGTAGGGTAAGTGGAAAGAGTTGAACAAAAATTATTAGACTTAATTAAATTTCCTTTTATTTATATAGTAAATCTCAAGTATATGAAATTGGAGAATACTATAATAATATCAAATGTAGTTTTTGGAAATATTTTCTAAATAAAAAAGATATGTATATACAAAGTTATGATCTAGCGGAAGCGGATATTGAGATGATTAAGGTTAAAAAATATTAAAAATAATGATGAATTTTGGGAGTATATTTGCTTCTTTTGATTTTTAGACTAAGCCAAATCATTTATAATGGTGAATATAAAAGCGGAAACAAAGTTGGTCTTTTGGGATACCTATTTTGAGGAGGATGGGAAAATTAAATAATTGAAATAAATGTAAGATTATGTTATAATTTGTATATCTTTTTCACTAATTATGAAAAAAGTGTGGAAGTATTTATGGTGAAAAAATATTGAGTTTGAATTTTA